GTCAAACAAAGTCTTGGGGAGATTGGGAACTTCAATCCATTCCAGGTCAGAAAATTGTGTTATGCTTATTGGAGCTGAGGTGAGTCACAGCACAAGACCCATCTGGAGAGTGGCAACATGCCCACTGCTGCTGTAGGACATGGATGTGTGTTTCCTCCTGGCCCCCCGGTTGATATTCCCAGGATGGAACTGTGCCCAGTTTATAGTATATTAAGCAAGCTGTAGGCTGCCAAGAAACCTCTGGGAGTTCGCACACAATGATGACATCACCTGCATACTATAGTATATAAGACTTTCTGAAGAGATCAGGGGATTTGGTGTGCACTGTGTTATTTTTTCTGAAACATCTACAGAGGAGTTTTGCATTAATATCTAGCTTTACTGGATTGCAGGATACAATTCCATTATACACTTCTCTGGAAGGAAATTCCACTCAATGCAGTGTAATTTGCTTCTGCATCAATGTGGAAAGGATTGCACTGCACATGCTGCATATGGTAATTGCTATCATAAATAATTGTAATGTAGCTCAAATGCTTCATACAATCCAGTAAAATGGGGTGGAATTATTAACTTCATAATGCAGCATTTGGATAGAAACAAGTCTTGGTCATCCAATGAGTTCATGGTTCTGATTAGATTCAAAGTGAGAGCTTCTAGCTAATGTTTTTACCCACTATAGTAGACATAACTAAGTGTTATGGTGGGATTCATTTATTACCACATATACTTGACTATAAGTCAGTCTTAACAGCAAGCGTGGTGTAATGGTTTGAGACTCCAGAGATCAGCATTTGATCAACTCAACCATGAAATCCACTAGGTGACCTTGGGCAAGTCCCATGTTCTCAGCCTCAGGGGAAGACAATGACAAACCTCCTCTGAACAAATCTTGCCTAGAAAACCCCATGAAAGGTTCACCTTAGGCTTCCCATAAGTCAGAAATTACTTGAAGACACACATCAACAAGTCAAACTCATGTATAATTCAAAGCCAGGTTTGGGGGCCAAAATTATGGATTTTGATACGATCCGTGGATGAGGGTAAAACCTAGGGGCATCTAGCAAAGGATCTAAAGGATGAAGTAAAGGAAAACAATGCCAAAGAACTTACAAAAATTCCAGCAGGAATAACTGTTTGTGCTCATACTAAAAACTGGGTGGATGAGAGAACTGGGGGCGGGGGTCAGTGCTTCCAGAATAGATTACACTCCTGCCTTTCAACAGGGAATGGTTCCTTGTTTTATAAGAGTTAAAGTATGTTAGTTTCATTGGCCCATCACTAAGTTGACTCAGGTTTTTGGGGTCAATTTTTTTACTCATTTCTAGACTTATACATAAGTATATACCATATATTTGGTATTGTTAAAGGAGAAACTGGTAAGAGACTACCAGTTTACAGATTAGTATAACATGTTATACAGATAAAGTAAAACCCTTATCTGAAATTTATTATGAGAGAGAACTGAAAGATGGAAGAAACCTCTTTAATTTACATAATTCGCACACCACGTTTTGCTTTCTCAGTTCCTTGATATTTAGAAGGATCTGACTTTGTTTCTTTGAATGTGGTCAAATATTGCTTACAGTTATTTAACATGCTACTTCTGATGTTTATACAACACATTGTAGCACCATGCATCTGGTCATTAAAGATTGTTCAGACAACCCATGAACAAGGGGGCTAATAACATGGGTATTGTAATTCATTGGTTGTTGGCTTTAGATCCTTTGAGTGTGTTTTGAAACTCAACACACAGAATTGGAAGCATTGACCATGCTGTTTGAGGCTTCTGGCAGCTGAAGTCCAAAACATCTTGGACGTTTTCACACGGGGCTTTAGACGGAGGCAATCCTACCTCCGTCTGGCCCCACTCCGGCTCCATTGTCAAACTTTTCACACGACGTCGCATCAAGCACCGCCCCATCCAGCACCATCCCTGGCGCTATCCGCCGTCCGTCCGGGGTCTTGCTGCGCATGTTCATACGACGTTGCAGCAAGCCCCGC